TACTTAGAGTTCGTAAAACATTTTGATATTCTATAAAACATTATTTAATTTCCATCTGGAGGATCAACGTAGTTTGTAATTTTTAATTAGGTAGGTATTAAATTGCAAGTATTGGATTGAAACCAACTAATCCGTTACTAAGAAAAATAGATAAAATCACAATGGAAAAATTTCTTGGGACAGCAAAGTTAAGGCTTTCTACTTCTCCGTCTTCATACAAAAAAATGTGGGAGTCTTTCAATTGAAAATTCAACTAATTTACCGTGCGAAATCATTAGTTTCAAATTTGTGACTTCATTGAGGAATACGTTGAATGAAAAACTGAGTCAGATAAACGAAGAGAAATTATGAACTGAAATAAATGATATTAAAATGTCATAACAATAATTCCAAATTTATAATACATATATTAGAAGTGTAACTGTTCGTTGGAAGACATTGAGAAAAACTAGGTATTTTTGGAGCTCGTCTTCAGAACCCAAAATGGATTTAAATTTGGGTGCAAGCTTCACTAAAGTACAAGTAGCATGGTAGTCTTCACTTATCATTTATTATTTGGTTATTAATTTCGATCGGTTAATCAATAAAAAATTAAGCCAATTTGAAGAACGAAAAAAAAATACAGTTTGTAGGGTTATTTTCATGATAATCAAATATTGCAACGTCTTGCTCTTGAAAATCTGAGAAAATCAAAAAACTGAAATCCACGCAAACGAAGTCGCAGCCGAGAAACAGGTAGTTATTGAATAAAAATGGAAGATTTTTTCTGAAGATGCTCATGTTGGTCAAATATCCAACATCTGTCATCTGATCAAAATGAATTTTTATATTCATTTTAGCAGCACATGTCCATGGAAAACTAACGAAAACAAAATCTCTAGTACTAATGCCATCTTATAGAATTCTATTCCAGCAATAAAACCTTTTTAGATATTAAAGGAATCGATGTACTCGAGGAGGTTAGCTTGAGCTAACCTCCTTCTGAAATATTTAATACTTGTATATAAAATTGGAAATTCTGAACGTAAATCGAATATCAAAGATAAACTAGGCTCCCCAAGACAATGAGTTGCAAGGCTAAACTTTGACATCGATCGCCGATCAAAATTCGTCTTCTGTTTTCCACTTCACGGCAACAAGAAGAAATTGTGATACAAGTGCTGTTTTGAAACGCTCAATCTCTTCAAAATTGTTTTTACTGTCAACCAAACTATCACCTAAGAAAAATCGGAACTCTTCAGTAGACTTCCGTAGATAGACAAATATTTCACCATGTAATTTTGGATAGAAAAAAATACGTAATAGTGAAACCGACAAAACGAACGACATTAGAGGAAAGTGACATATACACCTCTTTACTCATCAATGGAGTTCTGAAAACACTAAGCTGTTTTGTGACAGAACAACTCTGGGAATTTTTAAACGACTCATGATTTGCGAATAACTTTTGGACTAATGGACTAGTGAGAGTAAGCTATTGGGATCAAAATAAAAAAGAACACTCCTTTGTAACAAGATCTGAAAATTTTGAATTTATTAAATATTGAATAGTACCGTTCTTTGAGTTTTACTAAACACCTTGAGTTTTGTTGTTCTGATCATCATCTACATAAAAATAAGTTATCAAAGTGTCCCGCTCTTCCTTGAATAATTTTTTTACTTATTCATTATTAGTTAATAATTTCTAGGAAAGAACCCTGCAAATTCTAAAATAAGTGCACTTGCATCAACAATAACCCATTTTGTGGTCAGTGAACATAGTTCAATTACCTCATATTATTTAACTGAAGAAAACACTCTTCTTATGGCAGAACAAAATCCTGTCTGTCGACGTTCGTTCAGGTAACCAAGATTGATAGAGATTGAATTTCAACAACTTGAATAGGTCTATACATATACACCATTATCTTAGGTGATGGGGGGGTCATCAAATAAGGATATAATGAATACCTAATCATGTGTTGATTCATAGATATATCTCAATTCCTAATTTATATATTCAAGTAACACTTTATAATGAGATTTGCACTAAACAGTTTACAGAACCGTAACAGGTGCTTCGATACACAATAGCTTTCTCAGGCGTGTTCAGTCTAACTGAATCCTACATGATTAGTGCATCATATAACAATTTGAATCAAATCACTTTTTTGAACTAATTGGGAATTTCAAAGTAAAATTTAGCAGCTCATAAGGAAGTTACTGTATAGCGAAACACGTGTTGCGACTTCATAAACTGTGAAAATGTGAAAATAAAATGTTACTTGAATACGTTATAGATTTTCATTAAGTATCGACCAATTCCATTACAAAACCTAGCTTATATGTTAGTGAATATCTGTTATGTAACTGACATTTACCTGGTTTCTATTCCCATTACATAGGAGGTTTTTCCTCGAAGATGAAAGGTAAAACTGGAACCTCTCAACATAAGTTTTTTTCATCTCTTAAACTGACATTAGTTTTTTTCATCTCCTAAAGACGTGTGAAATTCGCGTCGAGAAGAGTATTGCAGTTCTGATGTTCGAAAAAAGTGATTGTTTTCGATATTTTCTCGATTTCTCAAAAGATTCCTAGCCTTTTTGTATAGTTATATGTAAAATTTTGTACATAAAATATAAATGAGAATTGAAGGTTTGCCAAAAATTTTCGAAACTCTGGGATTTTTAGTTATAATGAGAGAAGAGTCAAATATGAAAAATAATCTGACTAAATTCTCTGTGAAACCAATATATTTTAGAATAGCAAATAGTAAAGAACTTTTGATGCGGTCAAAGGCTTTCGTATAATCAAGCATCACTAAAGCCATCAATTGTTTTTTGTCAGTCGTCCGAAAGATGTCATCGGTAATTTTCGAAACGGCGGTGACACAGCTGTGTTAAGATCTGTTTTTTGACTGACACTTGGGTTGGAAATAATATTATTAGAATCTGTTAGAATCTATTATTTTCATGAACACTAGAATATTTAAAATCAGTAAGATTATATGTTTCAGGTAAAGGAATGATGAATGAGTTTTTCCAGATTTAACAAAATTCATGACTACTGATACAAAATTGAATATATGGAATATTTTGGGAAAATCACAATAGGCTTTGGATTTGATTGATAAAAAATCTTCAAAGATATCCCAATCCACAGTTGGTATGAAGCTGAAGTTGCCAACGCCTGGTTTGGCGTTGTTTAAATGAAAATTTAATGTCTCCGGGTCAGAATGGTATTCAGTTTTAGATGAATTCACGGAAGATTGTTAGTATGAAAAGAATTCCTCAGATTTTTTGGAAAAGAAAGTTTTTGGCTTTCTACTACTACATCTTGATACAAAAAAATTGGGAATCTTCCAAAGAAAGGAAGGAAATAATCAATTTTAAAATAAGTAACTCTATACATGGATATGTAAATCATGCAAAGAAGTATCTCTCAGACACAAACTGGAAGAAAAAGCCCTTCTGAAATAGCTACTTTCATACAAACATTGAATTACATAAAAAAAATCATTTCGAAACCTTTACATACCTTTATATGAACACTGAATTATACAGACGACACTATTCTGTCCTCAGTTTGTATCCCAAACATTCTTTATGGAACAAAATCAGGTAACATTCATAGGAATTCTACATTAAATGAAGGGTAAATAATTGCACTTTCATGGAACACTGTCATCCTCACTGGTAGACATCGATGTTTCGCCGTAAGACACTTGCCTCAGGGCTTATCAGTACCAATCTGGTACTATTGAGTAGAGAATAGTTTCTTCTGTATAATTCAGTGTTCATATAAAGGTATTTGTTTCGAAATAATTTTTCTTTCGTGTAATTCAATGTTCATATGAAAGTAGCTGTTTCAGGAGGGCTTTCTCTTCCAGTTTGTGTCTGAAAGTTACTTCTTTGCATGTATACATTTACTTATTTTAAAATTGATTACTTCCTTCCTTTTTTAGGAAAATTCCCACATTTTTTGTATCAAGATGGAGTAGTAGAAAGTCAAAAATTTTCTTTCCCAAAAAATTACTCAATCCTAAAAATATAACCCGCTCTATTTAAATTTCTCAGATGTTCGGGTAGAACATTAGATCAATTTTTTGAAATATTATTCATGTTCCTCATTTTTTTCCAAAATGCACCATTATGTTGGTTTTCATTGATTCTGAATATCAAAAATGCTTTGAAGTTAAACATTTAAAATCCATAACAAAATTGATTCGAAAGTAATCAGTTTTTTATCGATCTTTTTGGATATTTCAGTATCCAACGGCTTGAAATTGTTGGAGGTTAAAAACCCAAGAAAGTCGATAAAAAATTTCATTCATATTTCACTCAGTTTGTGAACAGAAACTCTGGTTTCACAAGTTTTCACTTGGGAATGACTTTTGTTAACTTTTCATGTGAAGGTCAGAGATATTAAATATTAGCTGTTAGTGTATACAAAAAAATATTTGAGTAAAAAGTTCCTGTCTTTGTATAAAACTAACTAGAGTTATGTTTTTGATTGTTGAAGTTTCAAAAACTATTTTCTATTTGAAACTTGCAACTCCACAATTTCTGTCTGCGCAACTACTTCATAGCACACGCATAATGATGTTGAACTCTCCCCTAGAACTGTATATGGGAAATGTTATGAGCGTAATCCTGCTCCAATCCAATCTTCCGATATTTGTTTCTATTTCCATAAGTATCAGAGCTTTATGCAAATCTTATTAGGCTTTCATTGGACTAATCATTTCTAAAAACCTGTACTGCACTGCTTTCTATTTGTTGAAGTTTTTATTCCTTTTTATGTTATACTTTTCACCCAAACTTCTTCTCAAAATTGTTTTACTCTGTTTCCATTTTTTTATTACCTCAAGAACTATTTTCAACATATAGATTTGTATTTAAAAGGGCTACCCAAAAGCCGACTCTAAAATTGGTCAATAGGAATGAAAACATCAAATGTTATCGGTTAGCAGTTCATGTCCTGACAATCATTGAAATAATCATTTGAAATTGAAATGGATAAAGTGTCTCCAATTCTACACTAATATCTAAATTTATTTGTTAATCGTTTCATTTCTATACAACACATTGGAACGGAAATTTCGAAACAAAACAAATCGCCAGTCACTCCTACGGAATTGGAAAAAACAAGCAATAAAAACGAATAATGCTTGAAGAAGGTTGTTTGAACTTCATATCTCTCTTATCACTCTGACGACTGGAACCATAAAAGTTAGTGCTCGAGGCATTGTTAAACCGAAAATTTCATCAAATTATCACCTGGCAGAATGGGTAATTCGCACAGAAAAAGTAGTTATGATGTTCAACAAGGAATACAACAATTTATGGCAGCTGAGAGAGCAGCTAAAAAGAAAAAAGAAAAGGATATGGCCAAGATGAAAGGAGATAAACAGCAAAAGGTGGCCAAGGGATCTGGAGAATCGCAAGTGAAGGTTGACAATGCAAAAATGGATGGATGAAAGCAGATTTATATCTGTCGTTTGAATATGAGATGTCATTGTGTCTTTAGTCAAAAAATAATGTCATGGTTGTTTACTGTAAATAAATATTTTTTACGAAATTGTTTTGCTTACAATTTGTGCTATACATGTCATCGAGATTCTAGTAATTTCTTTGAATATCAGGTAGTATGTTGAAGGTAGTTGGAGTTGATATTTTTGGTGTTTAAGTTGTACATTTAGAAATGGGGTAAGTATTAAAATTGATTGTAATGAATATTTACGAATGAAAGCAACTGAAAGTTTTCTATTGAATTTGCCAAAAAACCTACAAAAATTGCCATTTTGTAAATAAAAATCACAAAAAATGAAAAGACAAAACACTAAATTGAAAGTGGTGGATCCGGTTTCTTCAAGTCGATATCTCCAACCAAACTTTGTATATGGGGTCCATTAGTCACGTCATGTCTTTTTTACATTTATTAACCCCCCTCCTACCCCCCTACCTGCAAAGAATCTTTAAATTTGTCCTTTCTTATACTCTGCAAATAGGTCTTTTATACAGATCACCTACTTCATACATTGTTTTAATGAAAAACGTACGTGGTAACGGTGTATGCATGTATTCGGCGCCGAAATAACAGAAAATAACTGGCAAGTCGAGCCGGGCGGTCGTCGTGATGCACGGCGACTTCGTTCGCTGCCAAGCAACGGCTAATCAAAGTCACATTACAAGCCACTTTTCCGTTTAGAAATCGTGCGTTTCACAAAAAACTAAATACACGTGATATCTTACTACACCCCACTCCCCCTTTTGATATTTCGTGATTTTTGCTAAACCCTCGCCCCCTTTCAAGCCACACGTGATTGATGGACGGCCCCTATGAACGTTGTTACATGAATCCACGAAATTGGTATTCACAAAAATGTGCCAGGGTACATATGAATTGTGTTATAAATAAAAAATGCATTCGAACCTGTTGTTTTTAGTCAGTTATGAATTTATTAATTTATGTATTTTTTGTTGACTTGTCAACAACATTCCTCTTGCCATGACATTTGGTTTCCACCTGATGGAAATTTCTATACAATATTAGACACATTTCATTTCAGTCTACTTTGAAATTATCTGAAATAATTGTAATTCACATAAACACAGTTTTTGAAGAGACGATGACGATCCAATTTTTCTGAAAATTATATGAAAATTGATTCTTGTTTAAGTATATTCATAAGGTTATTAGTCAAATGTGACACAAAAGCCATGTGTAACTTAAGTGATTGTTTTGAAAATAATTGATTTGTATGTTCTATATTATGAGACTTTTTTCATCAGTTCACCAAAGCGCAAAACATGTTTTACTATACTACTGTGTTCAAAAAACAATGTGAATTTTTTTAAAGAAAATATTTATTCATTCATCAATTTTTATTGTGTCTCCTTCATAATAGTCACCCTCAGATATAATACACTTGTATAAATACCAGAGATTTTTTCAATCTTCGAAACAGTTCTGATATGAACTTTTTTGTATGTCCTTGAGCTCTCTCAACGAATCGGTTTTCATCTCCTCAATCGTCACAAAACGCCGTCCTTTCATGGGTCTCTTCAATTTTGGGAACAGAAAAAAGTCGAAGGGGGCAATCTGGTGAAAACAGTGGCTGAGGCACGAACACAGTTTTGTTTTTGACTAAAAAAACTTGAACAAGCAATTTCATGGGCTGAAAAGTTCCTAGGTTAACACTCAGGCAACTTTAACCTTCAGAAGACACGTGTACAAATTTTACAGCTGTCAGATTATTAGTTTGTGGGATGAAACATTTTGAGTGAAGCAACTTTTGAGAAAAAAAATGTTGAGGCCAGGACTTGGCTTGACAAAAATCATTCGGACTTTGTACCCGGAAAATCAATCGTGGTTTGCTGAGTTTGAACGAGGTGAAATGAGCACCGAGGACGATGCACGCAGTGATCGCCCCAAAGAGGATGTTACCGATGAAAACATCAAAAAAGTTCACAAACGAATTGATGATTCTGAGCAGTGTTTGAAGCTGTTTCACCTAGAGAAACCCAAATTTATGAGTCGATGTGTGTCAATAGATGAAACGTGACTCCATCATTTCACACCAGAATCAAAAGGATTGCCATCCGAGTGAACTGCACGTATTGTACCGTCATCGAAGGCAACTATATTGAATAATGATATCAAATTGTATCAAAAAATGTTTTTTTCTATGTCAGCCTATGAACTTTGCAGCCCAACTTACTTGATCGAAAGCCATTAATTTGTATATGCTTCATTGAGTTTTACTTCAATAGTTCATAAATTAGCAAAGGTGACTCGATTGATAAGTCAACTTCATGCTTTTGAAATTGTTACAAAAGTCTACTTAATTTTTATCGTACAAAAAATTGGCACGTGATTATAGGCGGTTGCAAGTACATACCAGATGAAGTAATGAGTAATTTCAATATCGAAAACCTACCATCGGTAAAACCTGAACATATACAATGAATAGTTAATCAATATAATTCATAAAACATTAACTGGAAGGTAAATAATTTCAGTGACTTCTTTTTGTATACACTAGGTTCACATTTTACTAAGTAATTTTTCTTCATTTTTGTGTCAGAAAACGAAGCAGTTATCGATTAAGAGCATTTGAATTCTGAACATGAAATTTTGTTTTATGAATGAACGTACGAGATGAAATCCTATCTTGATATACGATTACACTTTGTGATTGTGAGACAAAGTTGAACTCAAGTAATGTACCTCACTTTCAAAAAATTAAGATATTGAAAATGAGCGTTATTCTCCATAAATCTCCAATCTCATAGAAGCATGATTTTTCTTCTTGTACAAAAATAATTGATTCTGTCTTCGTGTACTTGCATACGTTATCTCTGGCTTATATTAAGCATATCTTGTAATACATATTGAAGAGCTTTCAGTATGTATTTCAATTATTGTTATTCCGTGTCTTCGTGTATTACGCGTTCGTAACTGAATGCAGTATAATGATGTGACTTCACGTTCAGGTATATGTTAGTGGGTTTCTTGTAGACTTTGTGCTGAATTCCTCCGTAAATCAAGAAAAGGTAACTCGTTGTTTCTTTACATTTCTGTGGTGAACTGTATTTTCTCTTGGAGTGAGTTGAGGTATGTCTATTCAAGTATCTCCTTACTGATCGCTGGAAATGAGCAGGAGTACCAATTGTAACCATATTCTCTCGAGCATGTCGAATTTCAAAAACAGGAAAAACATTCATTCAGAATATGAATATTACTAGAGACTTTTCCAACACCAAACCGTCATTCCAACACCTCGACACGTGTTTCGATCACCAAGTGATCATCTTCAAGAGGAAGATCCGTTAGTTTGATCTTCCTCTTGAACCCGTGGGTTGGGCTACCTATCGGGCGCGTCTCCGGGTGGCGGGTAGGGGACTGGCCAGAGGACTGGGGGCCCAGTCCGGCAAGCCAATGTGGCTTTACCGAACGGGAACGCCAGACTCTTGGTCAGTGACAGAAATGAGTAGGGTGAGGGGAACCAAAACTCCCCGAAAGCCTTTGCGAAACATGCCACCGTGGACCAGCCTACCCAAGCTAAGGTGCAAGGAATCGTGCCGACAGCTGAATGGCCGCAGGGTAATATGCGGTTACGAACGATCCCCTTGGGAAACCGGGCGAAACCTTATTGAAATCAGCCTTCCTCTGGTAGTGCGGGGCTCTCCCAGAGGTGACCAACTCTTCCCCTGCTACTCGTGGAAACACACATGAATGAAACAAACACAAAAACAGACACAACAAAAACAAAAACCAAACCCGAGGCTGGACAGAAGTGCTCACCTCAATCTATGGCGGTGGATGGGGATTAATAGAAATGCTGCTGGAGGAGCTGGACAAGATTATCGCTTCCGCCTTCAGCAGCAACAGCATACCGCACACGTTCAAGTCGTGGACATACTCCGATGAAATCATCAAAGTGGTCTGCGATGACGACGTGACGCTAGAATGGCCGAAGCAAGCCACAATGAACATCAAGCCGTGGGAGGAGGCATCACTTGCGGTCGTCAGTGTGGATAAACTCACAAAGCTCACCAAAGCCTCTCTCTGGATCCCGAAGGACGTCCACAAGACGACATCCGGTGAAGAGGAGAGGGTGCTGGGTCGGCTGAAGGCACAAAACTCTGACCTGATGGTAGGGTATAACTCCCTTCAGATGCAGCCACTCTACCACCGACCAGAGAAATGGAGGTACACTAGTGGATTACTGCATCAACCAGAAAGTGGAGCTTGTATAGGGTTGAGACTCAAACTCTCACCACTTGAGCTGGGACAGCAAGGATATTAACGCCCGGGTTTAAGTCTCTATATGAATATATAATAAAGAAAGATCTAACAATCTTGAACAGAAACACGGGTTCGACATTTAGTAACGCCCGTAGCCAAACATTAATAGATATCACTCTGACGACAGCCAAAATATAAAACAAAATGCAGGACTGGCAAGGGTCGGATCATATTTGTATGTCAGACCACCGGTGGTTGACCTATACGGTATGTCAGAATCTCAGGACCACTGTAAAACCCCGTGACCCGAAGAGCACGAATGTAGCCTCTCTACAATCGACTCATAAAAGAAGCTCTGCGGAAAACAGAGGTCCTGACTCCTGGCAATGATGAAGAACTGGAAAGGTACATGGTATCTATCCAGAACAAAATAGACATTGCCTACAATGAATCCTGTCCGATGAGGATGGTTCAAACAGATGGCGCAACTAATACATGCTCTGAACTGGAACACCTCAGGAAGACAGCGAGAACGACCTTTAACAAGGCAAAACGTACAAGACTTGAAGAGGACTGGGGTATATATCAAGTCAACCTCAAAGAGACTTTCCACTAGCTTCTAGGCTACAGAAGGCACTCTCACACGACCACCATAAGAGTATCGGCCTCCTGACGAGGGAAAATGGCGACAAAGCCGCCAACCTCCAAGAGACTGATGAGAATCTTATGGAAACTCACTTCCCAGGTTCTGTCTTTCCTAAAACGACGAATTGGACGGAAGTACCAACAACACCCTCACAATACGACTGGCATTCTGCTAGTGCAGTCATTGATGAGTATAAGATAAGATGGGCCATATCGTGCTTTTCCCACTTCAAGTCACCAGGACCTGACAATATAAGACCAGCCCTACTTCGATGGGGATTGGATATTCTTATGCCCCACCTGATTGGAA